AAGTTAGAATTTTAAATAATGTTTTTGACAAGATCATTATTTATTAAAATATACTCAGCGTTTCTTCATGATATTCACGAATTTATTTAATATAATTTAAGGGAGGGGGGGGGGGCTTCGCCCGAAGGCTTACTCGCTTATTAGAGGACCAAATTTTACAAAATTTCACAAATATAACAACATAGTAAGGAGTATTAAAATCCGCAATCACATTTGAAAAAAATGTTTCATTTTCATGGATACGGCAGCCAAATTGGATTCTGTTGAGATGTCGTACGTAATGAATGCCGCACTTATTTTTCACGAAAATTGATCTCTTTTTTTTTTTTTCAAACTGAATGTTCAACCTAAAAACTAGCAAAATCACAAAACAAAAAGGGAAGGAGTTTGTTTTTTTTGACGGTTTTGTTTCAATATGTCCTAGAAAGACCAAGTACTCCTTGTCACTTGATTTCAGCGCCAAATCCTTGCCTGACTGAAACGGCCAAACGCATCAACCATGAAGCTTTAACTTCGTAATAATATGCTTATCCTGTGTGATATGGGGTATATTATTTCTCTGTGATAACTTTCCGCGTGAAGACGACGTATTTCTTGTGAGTTGTGTCCGTGGATTCTATTGGGATGTCTCCGGCCATGGCGACAGCTGGCGTGAAGCGAGCGAGACTGGACGGCCTCAGGCACGACTTGACCACTGGACTGGCTGACCGAGGGCTCCGTATGGGTGAGTTTCACCAGTCATTCAATTATTGAATATTTAAAATAATCTAATTTCTATTTAACCAGGTGTCTAAATATTTCTGTTAACAATCACATTAAACGAGGATTCATTTATGGGGAATATAATCATATAATTAAAATAATCAGCGTCATCTTTTGAACAATTTCCACAAAACTTGGAACAACAGAAATTCAATTTGGTTGAGAATTCTAAAACTTGATATTTTTCCAACCTGCAGTACGGTTTTCCTTCTTTTTTCACAACTATCACGCCCATTTCTTATTGAATTCTACTTGCTCGAAGTTTTATCGTAATTGGTGCAAAGAAGTCCAAATTATTGACCTTGAAAAAGATTCTCATGTTTTAGACACCTTGCATAAATTATAGTCAATTGGCCTACTGACATAGGATGCAAATCCCCGTCTAATGGCCGGTAGCTGGAGTGCAACACACACGCACATACACACGCACACATACACACACAACATACACACACAGACACACGCACACATACGTACACACACACACACATATATATAAACACACATCCATAGACTTCCCCCACAACACTCCCCCCCGCCCCCTCCACCCACCCAGAAAAGAAAATCGATGTACGAAAAAACCTTCTAGGTATACCACCACTCGAAAAAGCTCTATAATCCATTCCACAAGGGAAACAGCCGCAGTATGAGTCGACAGGTTCGACTGTAACACACTACAGATCTATTTTAATTATATGATTATATTCTCGCAATAAGGAGAGAAATCAGCTGCTCAAATCCCATACTGATTAAAAGTAAGTGTGATTTGAACCCCCTGCAGAGAGGTGTAGAGTTGATTTGTAGCTGGAGCTCGATAACATGTTTATCTGTATTAAATCTCTTTAAGAGCCGTCTTGAGGTAACCCCGCTCCCAAAAAAAAAAAAAAATTTAAAAAAATTCAGTGACAAGTAAATTTGAAATTGTCTGAGACGGTCATCCTTTGTCGAGGAGAGAATGAGTTGTCTTAGACAGGGTGACGTCTTATACAGAGGCTTTATAATGTGAAAATACGCAAGGGGGGGGGGTGGAGAGTGGTCGTTTGTTCAGGTGATTGTCTTATACAGATGTGTGTGTGTGTGTGTGTGTGTGTGTGTGTGTGTGTGTGTGTGTGTGTGTGTGTGTGTGTGTGTTTTGGGATCTCTATCAGACTCAAAACAAAGTACTCACACAGACTCAAAAAGAGAGCCTTCATTTGATATACCAGTGATTTGTGACCAAGCGTTTGTCGCGTGTTCTTAACCCCAAATGTGACTTCGAACGTCAATGTTCCGACGATGAAAGAAAAAAAAACCCTGCTGATAACCAAATTTTTCTTTCTCCTTGTCCTTCATTAAAAAGAATCTGCTTCTACTAAGTACTTCTTGGTCACACAGCTTCCAAAACAGTTGTAAATCACAAAGCCTGGTTGTCAACTACCATACCATGACTCTAAAAGCGGTACTATTTTTGAAAGAAACATCACTTTGCGTGTGATTTAGATTAACTTTAATTTGTCAAGAAAAGGGCTAGTCAAGAAGAATATCCACAGATTAGGCAACAAAATTTATCGTTTCCGGATAAATCTGACTAGTTTTCCCATGTCATTCTGGTGGCTTTTTTTGCTTTAAGTGTAACCTTATAAGGATTTTTTGTAACAGTTTTGGGATGCACTTGGACTTTTCTCAAATGATTTTGCAGTACCCCGTGGCTTTAAGCGCTTAAGCGCGCTTGTTGTTTTTACACGATTTGTTTTTTTCTGAATAAAAACACTTAATTGGTCAACAGTAGCACAACAGCACGAGAGGCACGTGTCAGGTGTGCCCCTATTAGTCTCTTTAACGGTTCTTTCGGTGACAGTTTGAAAATGGCAAGATGGTTGGAGCATGTCGTTTGACACCAGCACAATTTAGCTTCAAAGGAAACGCCACCTGCCCGTTAGGTCGTGACCTGTTTTAAGGTTAACCAGTTTATCGGTTGTTCCCGTGAGCTAATTAAAAAGGGTGGGCGCCACCTTCGATTTTGCAGCATGAGTTAATGTTGTTTTGAGCTGACGCTTATTTGACGATATCCGATTCAATTTTAGTATGACAGACTAACACTCTTGAACTTTTTGTCAAGTTCAATTAGAGAAACAAAAAACATACCTTAAAAAAGTGTATCTTATGGAAAAACTAGACGGGGTTGTGCGGGGG